CTCTTCCTTCTTCAAATTCCACATTGTTGGTTCATCCTCACTTTCCCTTTAATACCTAGAATAGCATCCAATGTTTTTTCTCTATCCTGCAGTACGTGTTCATCAAAGCCATTTCCATCCTTTTGGCAAAATCCATTACCGTTTGTCTTTCTGCATTGCTCCCCTTAACACAATAGTTACCCAACAGATTCTCATCACCTCTGTTCCCTTCACCCAAATGTCGATTAAAATCTACTCCAATCACCAATCTTTTCCCCCTGAGAACATGCTCTACCACTTCATTCAACATACTCCAGAATTCCTCTCTCTCTTTTGACATCCAACTTGTGGGCTGACAGTATTCAACATTACCCCTTTGATTCCCAGCTTCAAACTCATGATCCTTTCTGACATTCTCTTCTCCTCCACAACACTCTCCACATACTCTTGCTTCAACATTACTCATACTCAATTTTGGTTCCTATAATAGAACAGTTTGAAACCATCTCCAGTGCTCCTGGCATTCCACCCAACCTCCAGCACACACAATATGTCTATTGTTGTTCTCTCCAATATATCAGCCAGCTCTTCCCTTTGCCAGTCATAGTCCCTAGATGTGAAGCGCCTATTATTACCTTCAAACTCCCACCTTTCCTTTTCTCTTGCTGATTCTAAACATGCAAACATGGCTTCCCCCTTCCTTTGTTCTTAGTCAACAGTAGCACAGTTTCCACTGGCACCCTTTTATCCAACAGCATTGTCATTCTTATCCCAGACCTCGACAGACCAGTATGGACCAGTATCCTGACGCAGTCCTACCCATTTATTTGGGCTGGACTGACGTTTATACTTTAGAAGTGAAAACTCAACACAAGTCATCTGAGTGCTTGTTGTTCAGCTGTCGCACATCATTTTCATTACAGTGAAAGTATGCGACCCAGAATATGTTAATAAAACTGGTGTTCTGCAGACTCAGCCATGTTAGTCTGCTGTTATACAAATGCTCTCTCATCAGCTTGCTGTGTTGTTCATCACTGAGCCACAACTCTACCAGCACGTGGTCTGAGTGGAGTCGGTGACATTTTCAAGTTAAAGCACTTTCTGTGTCATGTGTATGTTCTCAGCAGAATTACAGTACTGAGTGTACCATATCTTCTATTTCTATATGCTAAACATTTACGATTTCCTTGAAAACAATTTAATTAGTTAAAATAAATGACAATGTTTCTCACAAAGATGCCTTTGACAAAATGTTTTAAAATGAGCAGCACTCAAACATACGGAGCCCCGCAGGGGACATGGGAGAAAAAAGAATTAAAACGGACTTTTGCGAGATCTCGCAAAAGTCCGTTTTAATTTTTTTTTTACAAACAACCCGATGACTGTTTTAAAAGAAAGTTAAGGGAATAAACATGACATTTAATTATAATGATGTTATTAACCAACTTTAGATGGAATAATGCCAACCAGTGCAGAGGAGAGAGGTCTACAGAAGAAAAGACTGGAAGCTAACACTGGTCAAGATGCTGTGGATTTCTGGTTTTGATTTAATTAAGAGATGTTACTGAGGATGTGCAGCAGCAACAGCAGCGGACTGAGAGGACTAAAACCACTGACGATCAAAGATTGGTTAATGGCTTAGGATGAATAATCTCAACTGGTTGGAAGCAAGGAGGTCTGCAGGAGAAGAGAAAGGAAGTTAATGAAGTGAAGTTTAGGATTGCAAGATTTAAGCACACAAGTGTGTGCTGATGTGTTTCTGAAGTCTTCCTAGTTATTTTCCAGAGTAGATGACTTTTAGGGGCATTGGATTGGCAAGCAGCAATCCAGGGAGAGACAGAGGGATTTGATGGAGCGTGGGCAGAGAGGTGGGCTACTGGGACGGCCTTGTTATTGTTGTTGTAGCAGTTTTCTGTTTGGATTTAACCCCTTAACTCCATAATATTCGATAGATTCAGGGTTTTGGTTTTTTTTTTAGACTTCTATTACATCACCAGTATGATTTCTTTCCCTCCTGAAAAATCAAAATAAATTGCACAATACATTTATAAGCATTTTAAAAAAAAGGCAGATATAGCAAATACGATACAAATTAAAAGTCATACATGGAGATTTTTTTTTTAACAATAAACTCTCCATTTAGAAAAAGAAATTTCTTGCAATGATTTTGTATTTCAGGCTATAAGGGGTTAATGAGTTAAGCCAGCTGTGCTCTTCAGTCTCTTTAACAAAAAGCCAGCAAATATTTTGGGAAACAACACACAGGCATAAAGCAGGAGGCTGGGAAACAAGAATCAAATGTGCAGAAAGTAACAAAAGTATAGCTAATAAAGACCTATTTAATGTTGGTGGTAAAGAACAAGGTGGTAAACACATTGTTTCAGACTGGGTGCACAAGCTGATCTTTTAATGCAGCTTCGTTGATGAGACACTCCACAGCAGTAAGCCTGGGTTTTATTGGTTTCTCCATGTAGGAAGATGGGTTTGGTTATACACAATTGTAGGTTTGTTTAGCTCCATGAGGATAAAGGTTATCGAGGTTGTGGTGTGTGTTATATTTGAAAGACTATTTTATATCTTGAAACAGCCGTACTTTACACAAGACTGAAAAAAATAAACAGGGCTAAGAATAAAGTAAGAAGATGTCAATTAAAAACTTTGTTCTTAGAAGATAACGTACAATCATGTCGAAAAATGTTTTCCATATCAGGGCATCATTTAAAAAAGATCTTAAAAAGATCTTGTCCTTAATCTAACCGCAGGTATGAAACCATTTCACTATTTAAGAAGAATAAAGCCAAAATGAAGAATCAATCTGTGAAGAAGTGCACCTAATCCTTCAGCTTTTAGAACAACCTTTAGCAACAAATTCTTCTCTGTGTTAATTTAATAGTCCCTCACATTGCCTTGGTCCACTCATCTGTACAATATCACTTCAGTTCATTGAGGTTTTTGGGCATTTGTTAAAGCTCTCTTCAGTTCCCACCACAGCATTTCAAATAGGCTGAGGTCTGGACTTTTGACTGTGCCATCCCTTTATCTGTGTTCTTTTCTTTTTCAGCCATTCTGTTGGTGTGTTTGGGATCATTGGACTTTATTTACCAATATGTCTGTGGAACTGTTCTTACCCTGTGTAAAAACAATTGTGTATGCAAAGTTATTTCATTTATGAAGCATGTGACTATTTCTGTTTTTCATATGTTTGTAAATCATAATTATTCTGAACCAGTAGGTGTGCGCAATCTGCATGCAATCTGCGAGAAAGTCTGACTTAAGAAACGTAAACAATTTTGTACAAAGAGAAAGTCAGAAAGGAGCAGCTTTCCATAGTGTTTATATAGGAGTGACGACATAAGAACTAAGGCTTGGCTGAAACTGGCTCATGCATCAGACAATGGCTGTCCTGAACTTATAGAGCGTATGTCCAATTTATGCACAGATTTGTGCATAAATTGGACATACAAACATTACACTCAAAAATCTGATTTTTGGTACCTGAATTTTTTCTTACTGGAACAAATGACAATTTGAAACTATGAAACTTTGGCCGTGCGTGTACAAATGGCTGTCTATGGAAGTATACACAAGTCTTTAAAATTATTGAATAAATAAATTGCATAACTTGCATTGCAAAAAATAAAAATAAAAAATGAAATGATAAATGCAAAGATTTCAAAAACAACACCGGGAAAAAAACAATATAGTTGATGTGCTGTAATTAAATTGAATAATTTATTCACTGTAATATTCTTCAGTGCCACGTCATGGTGCCAATGCCTGCAGCTTCCTAATATTTATTCCTACAAAGCTATTATTCAACTTCATTTTTAGTGATATAGTGCCAAATCATAACAACAGTTCCCTCAAGACTCTTTATATTCTAAAGTAAAGACATTACAAAAATACAGTGAAAGCCCAACAATCTGATGACCCCATATGAGCAAGTACTTTGGTGACAGTGGGAAGGAAAAACTCCCTCTTAACAGGAAGTAGACAGGGTCATGGAGGGGTAGCCATCTACAACAACTGGATATTGTTAAGTGGAGATAGAACGAAAACACGCTGTGGAAAAGAGCCAGAGGTTAATAACAACTATTGATTAAATGATGTGTGGTGTATAAACACATGGTAAGTGGGGAAAAAGGTGAAGTAGGAAACAATCAATTATAGTGCAAGAGGCCTAGGCTCCTGGGGGACTCCCATGATGTGATGATTCAGGGTCACCTGATCTAGCCCTTGCAATGCGCTTTGTCAAAAAGGAACGTTTTAAGCCTAATCTTAAAAGTAGTACTGCTAGCCTAAAGGCCCTTGGTAAACAGCCCGTTAATATCAGAATCAGCATACTTTATTAATCCCTAGGGAACTTATGTGAGCTATTACAGTTGCTCCAGTACAGTAACATTAACAAAAATAGACCAACCTATTTAACAAGACAATATGTTAAGATATAAGGAATAGCACAACGTATACAAATCACCAAATAATAAATATCCAGGGTTGGCAGATATAATTAGAAATAAATATCACGGAAATTGACAGCAATATTACCAAGTAAGTAAGAGTGTGTGCAGAAAGGATGTAACTATTGCAGTGTTTACAGTGTAGTGGATGGAGGAATTGTACAGGGAGACGGCCACAGGCAGGAATGATTTCTGATCATATTTAAGATTGAAGCATTAATTAAGAGTAGGACGTCTTTGAGCAGTCTTATAGGAATGGGGCAGATGATATGGTTGGGAGAAAGTAAGTACTGAAGATAAGTCAGGAAGATCAATTGGACAAAAGTCCTTCCTATTGGGGACCCATTTCTCATATAAGTTATTAATCAAACTTCTACTTTCATTTATAGCTTTGATTAAGAATAAAGCTGATTTACTATCAGTAAATATGGAAAAGCTCTGTTATAGCACTGCCTAGTGTCATACACTTTGGGTTGCATGGATAGAGGCTTGTGAAATTAAGAACAGATTGTGATCACACCTAGAGGGTATCCACACTGATCTTTGACCTTTGTGCTTCAGAAAATGTGGGAAGGCTTGCCACCCCTGCCAAAAAACTGGAGGACACGATCCGTTTGGCTGAGCTGGTGATTGAGGTGCTTCAGCAGAATGAGGAACATCATGCTGAGGTCAGTGTGCTGGTACATATGCATATAGCCACACCATGTCCCTACTCCATTGTAGACGTTCTACATATTTGTCTCCAATGCAATGTTAAAATAAAAAGGTCTACAGAGCACCTCAACATTTGTTTTCAAAGATAAACTGAACACGTTTTTTTGTCTCGTTGCAGACTGAAGTTAGGTAGTTGTATAACTTTACTTGAATGATAAATACAAAGCTTCTCACTGCTACCTACCTGCGTTAAACTATCATACTCCATGTTATCTCCACAATAGGACACAAAGTACATATTCTAAAGTGCAAGTAGGTTTATAAAAGCAGGGGAAACGCTTTGCTCTGCTGTGTATGCTGTGCTGTTTAGCTACATTTTTGTCACTTTTCTGTAACTAAAACAAAGCTGACTTACTGCTTCTCTACTTTTTATTCCAATCACTTATTTGTTTTGCGGGGAATTGTTTGAACAGGGAAAAGAGGTATGTGATTGTCTTGGTGCCATATACCCCATTCCCTACCCTACCCTCAATATACCCGTAGAACCTGTGCATGCACTTATTGACACAGCTATTGTTGTTGAGGAATATTAATATTTCCTTTTTCAACAATGACACAAACCCATTTCAGCTTGTTGTCACTGCCATTCAAGTACTTGGAGAGGTGCTCGTTAGATTCGAAGCTTGCAACAGTTTTGCCTTCATTATTGAAGAGCAGACACAAGTACTTAGGCAGTGTGTTTATTTGTCCAAAGCATTAAGCTAGTATTTTTGGAGAAAGCAAGGGGAAAAACAGATTTTCCTATATTCTAACGATGTACTTTGCTTTCTAAGAGCCTACCACAAATCATCCCAGAATATAACAGCATGTTTATTGTGTTTAGTCATTGACATTTACTTATCCTACTCAGTAATTCATCCATCATGGAGATGTACATGTTCTTTTCAGTAAATCCACCAAGTAAGTTTGGTGAGGGTGTTTCTCATCCTTCCTTTTTTAAACAAATTTGCTTTGGACCTTTCAGCACACATAATGGAGGATATGAGCCATCTTTCACACTATGACCATGCCCCTTGCATTTCAGCAAAATTCCTTTCCCTGCTGCTCCAGTGAAACTTTAAACCAGTGTACACGACTCCAGCCCAAACGTGTTGAAATATTCTGTTACAGTTTATTTTCTCTTGAGTTTTTGATCCTGGTTTATCCATGTACAACCCTAATTCTTCAAAATTTAGGATACTGTGTCAAATGTAAATTTAAAATATAATACTCTAAATTGTGAGAATGTTGAATATACAGTAACATTAAAACATTTAGAGGCTTAAGGCCAAAAATCAGTATTGGCTAACAATGGCCTTCAGGTCTCAGGCAGCACTTTCAGAAATAAAGTGATTCAGGAAGTCTCTGGGCCTGAGCTCATTTAAAATGGACTAAAGCAAACTGGAAAACTATTCTGTGGTCAGACGCATCAAATGTGGGCACCTCAACCTCTTGGAAAAAATAGCACACGGACCAAATGGCTTATTATATGTGAGGAGTTCAAAAGTCTGCATCTCTGATGGTATGGGAGTAGATTATTGCCCATGGCAACAGCCGCTTGGACATCAATGCTGAAGGTATATCCACAGTGTATAGCGGTCACTCAAAAACTGATTCTTTACCCTCAATAAACACCAAGCAAAGTGAATTGATTTAAATAATGAATCATTAAGAAAAGTGTACTTGGTTTAAACTGAATATATACCAGTCAAGTACATTTAATTTGGCCAGATTATAATAAATGTAACATTTCACATTGTACTTTTTACTATTATATGAAAAATGTACATATAATTAAATCAGTTAAAGTCAGGAACTTTTTGCTTGTTTGTTAGTTTATATGTTTTCGCTGCCATATGCTCCCTAGCATCTTATCAGACAAGAATGGCGTAACATTCCCCTCCCAAAAGTCCCGAAATCTGTCTCTTGAGGTCCCAGATGTTTACTGACTGTTGTTAAAAGGAGATGGGAAGCTAAAGTGATAAATACGCCTGTCTCCCAGCTTTTTTGAGACATGTTGATTTGATATGTTTTCCATGTTATTTTGTGGATAAAATATAAGTTTATGACATTGAAGATTGTTGCATTCTGTTTTTACTAATATATGTTACACAGCACCCTTGCTTTGGAATTAGGGTTGGTTTTCCTCTCATGTAATCACCAGCTATAACTTGACTTAGACTTTGCACTCTAATCCTAATAACTGGAATTAAGTTATAAAAATCATTGTAAAACTGCAACAGTTTTTTTTTTTACTATTTTGTGAAAAAAGTTGAAATGATATAATAGATGAAATAGTTGAAATAGTTGAAATGTGGAGATTGCAGTTGTTTCAAACAAACTGCCACAGCTGTTATATACCCTCCACAAAATGCCTTGGGTAGATGCTTACATTCTTCTTCAGAATCTGTTTTAGTTACAAGGAAATTATTTCTCTATTAGCACATAAACACTGTGCTAACATGTGGTTATAAGTAAAAGGCCGCAGCAGATGGCCCCGCCCCTCCCTGAGCCTGGTTCTGCTGGAGGTTTCTTCCTGTTAAAAGGGAGTTTTTCCTTCCCACTGTCACCAAAGTGCTGCTCATAGGGGGTCATATGATTGTTGAGTTTTTCTCTGTATGTATTATTGTACGATCTACTGTACAATGTGTTATTGTGATTTGGCGCTATGTAAATAAAATTGAATTGAATTGAAAGGATGGTGCACAATGCTGCATCTGGACAGAAGGAAAAAAACATGCAAATGTGAAAGAGTGGATTTGTTCAAAAAGAAATTTCTAGCAGTGGACGGATGGGAGGATATCGATGATTACAACCTTGTGTAGTGAAGAGTATCTATGTTGTATCACAAGATACAAAGGCTCATCAGTTTGTTTCACTAGCTCATCTACACAAGGCATTTTGGAGCAGCCAAGGCAGTTTGTTTGAAACAAGACTGTAGACCTGCACGAGGCATCAGCAGAAGCTTGGTGAGAAAGTGACAACTTTTGGTACAATTATCTGGAAATGACAAAAATATGAAATGATCAGCTTCATGCAAGATCTTGCCTCATTAGTTGAGGATGATCATGAGAAAGGTGGGGGCCCACCAGGTTCGTTTTTAAGTTTGAGGGGCCAATGGATGGGGGCATGAAACGTCTTGGAGGACCTCCTGTAGGACATTTGTGGAGGGATCTTAAGCTTTGAGTTCCCATGCAGCAGCCCAGAAACCTAAAGGATTTAGAGAGTTTCTTCAAAGAGGAGTGGGTCAAAATCCCCTCTTGGTGACCAACTACAGTAAATGTCCTACCACTGTGCTTGCCAAGTTTCTCCACCAATTACTATGTTATGTTTTGTTGGGAATCAAACACTTACTTGGCTCAATGAGATGCAAATGATTTTTTTATTTCGTAGTATTTCTGGTTGGTAATCTGTCTCTCCTCATTAAAATGAAACAAACAAAATTAGAGACTGTGCATTTCTTTATAAGTGAGTAAGCTTGCAAAATTTGCAGGGGAATGTTTTTTATTGTAATAACAAGACTGATGATTACAAAAACAATGACTGGCACTAACTGAATGTGATTCATCCGCTGCTAACTGCTCCCAGTATACCACCCTCCCACACCACTTCCAGTACTAGAGGGTACATTCAAATGACAGTGTTAAAAGCTTGGTGTGAATAGACAAACAGTTTGGATCCTCAGGGTCCCTCCTCCCTCCTCCTCCAGCTCCTTTCTTCTGATTGACTTGCTGAAGAAGCTGCGGGTGAGTGTTTAAGTACATCCCTGCCAAGTCTGTCAAGGAGCTGCTGCTGTTTCTTCTGTGGGACAACAGAAAGCATGTGATTTTTTTTCCATCTTGGTGTTTCTGTTCCGAGTGGTGAAGAATCCCTCCCCAGAGATTGTGCAGTAAAGTCATTGAGGCAACAACTTGATTTCATATGATGAAAAGTGTGTGAGAGCCTTTGAATCTCATTTCCTGTAGAGGCTAAAGATGAAATAAATCTCCAAATTCTCAAAGATGTGTCCAGTGGGGACGCTCATACTGCGTTAACTGTCTTCTTACACTCTCAGCTCCATACTTACCTCTGACTTTTTTCCCCGCTCTCTTCCCCTCTTTCCATCTGAAGGCCTTTGCATGGTGGTCAGATCTGATGGTGGAACATGCTGAGACCTTCATGTGTCTCTATTCGACCGAGATGGATGCAGCTCTTGAAGTTCAGCCACCTGACAGCTGGGACAGTTTCCCTCTCTTCCAGCTGCTCAATGACTTTCTGAGGATGGACTGTGAGTGTATGGCTATTCAAAAAAGTATATTCAGATGTCAGTATGGACCCTGGAGTAGTGGTCTTTGACTGATGAAGTGATTTTGCTAGGGCTGGAGGTCTGAAGGGTGTAATCTAAGGGAACATCCTTAATTACACACATTAAATACACACATGGATTAGACCTTCTGAGCATTATGCTCTGTTTAAGCAATGATGAAGATAAGTTTTTAATTGCTGAAGATTTTTTCAGTTTGTAGTACAAATAGTCTATTTAGTAGACTGCACATACCTTATTTGTGACAGCGTATTTAAGAGTTTTTAAAATATTTCTGTATTTATCCAGGAAAAACTGAATGTAAATTTTGGTTGGGCAGTATTTAATGAGAGTTTTTTACTGCCTCTAAAGAAAAAATTTTTTAAATAAAAAATTCAACCTGAAACTTTAAAACTAATTCTGATTTTAGTTCCTCTGTGATAGTCTAAATTCTGTACTCAATTTATCCCTATTCAGAAAAAAACACTACATTTAAGAATTAACAACAATATAGTCCAGACTAAAAATCCACCACAATCAAATTGACGACTATGTGCAGTACCATGCTCCCTCCATCCTATGATGATTTCATTCATATTACTACCACTACTACTTTACTGTACATTTGCCTTATTTTTAAGGTTGACCAACTTAAATAACTTCATATTGTTGGCATGTTTAATTGACAGTAGTGCATCACGTTGAATATAATCATCATATGTTGCAATTTGTTCTTGCCATCCCTGGTTATAGGTAAAGATGAGGGCATTATTAAATAGGAATTACACTGCATATTTCAAATGTACTTAATAATCAGTTAAATCAAGGACAGTACCATTGTACATGTACATGTATATTACGTGAGTAAATGCTCTTACATTCAACTGCTGCATCTTTGTAGGTAAACCTCATTTGGCACTAACATCACTGACAAATCACTGACAAACAGCAAAAAAAGCATCTCCACACTACTGAGCCCAAACGTTTTTTAACATGTACGCATATTTACAGCAGTTTTGTGTGTGTGTGTGTGTGTGTGTGTGTGTGTGTGTGTGTGTGTGTGTGTGTGTGTGTGTGTGTGTGTGTTGCCGACGGTTGCTGCAGGCCACTCATCTCTCTAATGAACTGCATACACTTGCTTGCAGGAACACTGTCCATGCAAAAGATACACATACACTTCACGAAGCAGACTCAATCTGCTAATTGTCCCTTGGGAAAGATTCCCCTTTTCATTGTGTCAGTTGGGAGTCAAGGAGAAGATAGAATGTTGTCCACTTATTCAGCTTAACTGACCTGAGCACAAAAAAATTATCATGCTCTTTTGTTAGTGTCATGAAATTGGCCTCCTTCTCATTTGCTACATCGTGTCATTGTGTGCGAATTCCAATTATAGTGCATAGCAATGAACATAGCTACGCTGGGAAACACTAAAAGAAAGCTTGCTTGCAATAATACACTGACTAAAAAAAAATTATGCATTCTCTATGTGCATTCATAGCTGGTCAAACAAATTATGAACTAAATTATGATTATTAAAAAAACATTATAAATTTGAACCCCTTTGTAACACAAAAGGTCATAGTCCATCCAACGGGGTTTGTTTTTTGTTTTGGAAAATTTGAAGCGAGAAGGCCCGATGGCAGACCTAGGACACGCTGTAGAGATTACATCTCTTGGCTGGCCTGGGGAGGTGTTTCCCAGGTTAGCTGAGGGAGGTGGCTAGGATGAGGGAGGTCTGGTTTCTCTGCTTGGGCTGTTTCCCTGCTACTCGGCCCCAGATAAAGTGATAAGAAAATGGATGAATGTGAAGGTTCTCATTCATCCAGGTCATGGCAATCTACGCAGCTTAGAAAGAAATGGGTTCAGAGTGGAAGCAATTTCTCTAAGTGATGTCTGTTTTTAGAGTTAACTAAGCAAGCACTGCTTGCCCTGTTGGTCCTGATAGAACGCTACTGGTTAGAAGATGTTATATACTAGGTTGCATTGACTAAATTGGACTTCCATAAAAAAGGTCCCCTTCTGAGTTCCTCAGAATAATTAAACATGGTTTGATGATGGTCCAAAAAGAAAGGGTGGTTCACTGCTGGGTACAGAAGATGGTTGTTATGGGTGTCAAGGGCAAAATGCTGTTAAGACAATGTGGCCTGATGCTTTGTAATATACCATGCCAGAAGGCCTGCTTCCAACACAGCATAACAAACGCACGTTAGAAAAGTATATGATTATAGTGACATGTTTTTGCAGAAGGTCATCTGTTCTTTTGCCCCACAGCGGTGCACTTATGGAGCAGTAAAAAACTACATTAGTCAGGTGCCAAAGTCAGGCTGCCATTCAAGAAGTTAATGAGGTCTAAAGTCGTCGTAGCTAGACCATGGCAAGCCCTGCGAACACACTCCTGGACACAACACATCCAAATGGACAGCAGCCGCTCAAGTGGCTAATTGGGAGAGGGGCAATCAGGGAACACAACAAACATTGCACCTACTGTGTATCATCGACCTTGACTCCAATGCCAATGCACACAAACACAAACACACATTCTCAGAGGGGGAGAGAAAAAAGAAAGAGAGAGAGGGAGAGAAAAAGCAGGCACACTGCATGGAGCCGTGAGGCATCACATTAGCACACACTGGCCTCCATTTTATCTCCTGTGGTCTTTGTCAGTGTTGCCTTTTTACCAGTTGGGAGCCAGCAGAGCGGGGGAAATGTGGCTTGGATTCCAATGTCTTGTTTAGAAAGATTGAAAATGCTGTGTCATTCCCATTATTGAAGTGCACAAACAACAACCTCCTTTGTCACTATTCATTATCAGGGATTATGATTGCTTTCTGTGCCCTTTGCATCTATCCTGCGAACAAAGAAAAACAGTAATGCAATAGTGACAATGGGAGCTTTTACAATCCCTTTGAGGAAGTCTGCAGTGATTAAACCACAGGTACACACTCAGCCACTTTGTAGTTACATCTGTGCTCATTAACACAACTATCTAATCAGCTAATCACATGAAAGCAACTCATTGCATTTAGGCATACAGACCTGCTAGAGAGACCTGATGAAAACACCTGCTGAGTATCAGAATGGAGAAGAAAGGAGATTTAAATTTAAAGAAGGGAGATTTATGGTTTATTTCAAAGAGCTGCTAAAAGCGTTCAGAGTCTGCTGACAACAAGGAAGGTTGTTTCAAAGTTTAGGAGCCACAATCTAAAACGTAATACAAAGGTAGGGACACAGCGGTGTAAAGCACACCACCACTGGATTCTAAAGCAGTGGAGATGTGTTCTCAGAAGTGATGAATCATGCCTCACCATCTGGCAACCCGAAGGATGAGTCTGGAGTTGGTAGCTGAAGCTGAGCAGAACAGTACTGTCTGACTGCAAGCTGACAAAGTTACAGTTTAGTGGAGGCTGGATTATAGTGTGGGATCGTAGGGGAGGGCTTCTTGGCCAATATCATTGTGCAGTTCTGTAAGAATGGTCAAATATTCCCATAAACATACTCCAAAGCCTTCCGGAAAGCCTTCCCAGAAGAGTTTAAGCTGTTATAGCTACAGAGAGTGGGCACATTAAATCCTATGGATTAAGACTGGGCTGACAGTATCAACTTCATATGCATGTGAAGACCAATTAGTAAATACTTTTGGCAATAGCGTGTAGAATAAGAAAGAAGAACTGGACCAATGACTAAGCTCTGTGGCATCTCACATATTTGAAGTTATGACAGCGACATCTAGGTAATATTACATTCTGAGGTGTTTGTCAGATATGCATGATGGGATCGGTTGCAGAAATATTAATCCAGTTTTGTAATCTTTCAAGATGAATGGCGTGATCACCAGTAATGAGAATAAATAGAGCAGAATTAAAATATTCGCCTTTCTCTAAGTGTGTAAAAATATAATATTAAAATATTAATATGGAAAAATGATAAAAAATATAGTTTTTGCAGACCGGATTGGAACAAAGATAGTGTTACCCTCAACCAGTCCAAGTAGCTGATAGGCAGCAACTTTCTTGAGGATTTTAGAAATAGATGGAAGTTTCAAAATGGGTCTGTAATTGTCCAAACCAGTGCGGATTTTTTAAGCAGATGAAATGCTGGCTGTATTAATATTTATTAAAACAGTTCAAGCCTAATTAGCACCATGGATCACTACTCTATAGAGATTGGGCTCTTTTAAAAGATTTGGCTCTTTTGTCTAGGCCAGTGTTTCCCAACCTTTTGGAGCCACGGCACAGATTTCACATTAGAAAAATCACACAGCACACCACCAAACAAAAATGTCACATATCGATCATTTTTCCCAGCACACCAGGCATAGCAGAATTGGCTCAGTTTGTCCCTAGTTTCGCTTTCTTCTGACCTCTACTCATGCTAGGGCCTTCATCTGGGTCGGGGTTTTCTCCAGGGACCAGGTCAGATGGATTAGTTTGTCTTTTCAAATACTTAATGAAGCGCTTAATAGCAATAGATGTCTCACTCACAGCATGACTATTATGTAATTTCTTCTTCGTCTTCTTCTGTTTTACTTGCAGTTGGCAACCCATTTAACTAGCGCGGGTACTTGTACTGCCCTCTAGTGGAAGAGAATGTAATTGTTCTGCCTGTTACTCACGCCAATCGCGTAGAGTACTAATGAGGTGAAACCAGATAATCTTCCACGGCACACATGATCATTTCTCACGGCACACCTATGTGCTGCAGCACAGTAGTTGGGAAACACTGGTCTAGGCATCCTTAGAAGAGCTGGCTTTTCTGTTTTAGCCTAACCATTCAATTATGAATGGTTTGTGTGTTTAGATGATTTTTTTTAAATCCAGTGTTGTCATAAAGCCTTATTTTTATGCATTTACTGCTACTGGGGACAACATACATTGGCTTTAAGGCCTGGACAACATTTTGCAAACTTGGCATTCTACAATAAATGCTCTCTGAAAAAAATTTGTAGTATATGTCCCATTCCTCATTTTACAAATTCTGCACTTAGC